GTCGTCGTCTCCTCCTCCTCCTCCTCCTGTCTGTCGTCAGTCAGTGTCTTCCTCGCCCTCTCCAGCTCCCTTTCGGTTCCAGCGGCGCTCAGGCTCAGCAGCTCGCTCCCAAAAGCGTTTTCCCCCTCTTTTTTTCCCCCTTTCCGGGGGCTCTGCATTAGCCAATTCCATTGACAGTTTTCAGCCAGCAGCTGCAGTCATTAAAAGGCATTTACACCCTGGCCTCCTTCGCACAAAGATGGAGCGCCAACAATTATCTGCTTGTACTTTAAGGACATGAGAATGTGTCCCTAACAGGCTTAGAGGGGAGATGGAGAGCATCGCCGCACCGTCAGGCAACCCCCAACTTTCTTGCCCAACCGTCCTCCTCGACACAACCATGCCTAAAGGTTGTCTTTGGCTTCTCCCGGACAGCACCACAGAGCCCCGACGTCCCAGAAATGTGTCCGAAATCACCCGGCGGCCGTTTGGGAGACGGCAGGGTCAAGAGACCAAGCTGAAAAAAGGTGCGGGGCTTCGGGGATGAGCGGCTGCGTTAAAAATGGACGCTTGTAACCCGTTTTAAGCTCGGAGTTTAAGTTTTAAGCTCGGAGAACCCTCTGGTCAGGCTGTGGCGGCGCGAAGCAAGCCTGGTGTTGCCAACTCATTAACTGAGATCTGGCCGGGCTGTGGGGGGCCCAAGCTACTTCGCGGGACGGGTGAGAGAGACAGAAGAGCCAGACTCGGCAGCATCTTCTGAGCAAGGGAAACCGCCCCTGTACCAGGGGAGCGTGGGGATGCCGCTGCAGAAAAGGAGTAACAAACCCAACTTTGGCGCCTATCGTTTGCCGGTGTATTTGAAACGCGTCCGACTTCTACTTTGTTGGTACAGTATGTGGGTGCAACATTTGAATCCCCCTGCCCTCTGAAGTCCAAGGCAAGCCCGCACGGACGCTGTTGAAAAAGTGCTTACAATCCAGCAAACCCCGCGGGGATCCCAGGGCCTGGAACGCCCCCCCCCCCTTTAGATGGAAGGAAAGATAAAGATCCCTGGATTTCGAAACAGTTCAGAACTGAGCCGGGATCAGGGCATTGTACGGTTCCTATGGACGTGGCTGGAGGACCCACAACGCCAGGGGACTCTTGAGGAGAGAGCAGGAACGCCTGGAGACTGGCTTTTTCCCAGAAGGTTCTTGTAACTGGCAAGGTGTGTATGGACACACACACAGCCACACACACGCATCCTTCAGATAAGCCGAGTGAAATATTAAGGTACCGACCGAGGCAGGTGTCCTCTTTCCCCGGGGCCCCTGTATTGTTCAGCCCTTTTGCCCCCGGCAAAAGAGAAAGTTGGCGAGGCTTTGCTCCGGGTTCTCAACCTTTAGCTAAACACGGCGGTGGACAATCCCCGCTTTTCATAACTCGACAAAATCTCTCTGTTCTGCGTTAAATGGAAACCTGATACCGGGACAGGGACAAGAGGGCTGGGTGAGAAGATATCAACCGCCACCCGCCTCTTCCCAACCCGCCGTCAAACTAGCTGGTTAACAGAAGTGTTAAAGTACATCACTAAAACTTAAGAGCTGTTTTCCTTAGGAATATGAACCCCTGTTGACAGGTTGGTGGAAGAGTGATGAACGCCTAATCCAGTCAGCAGGATCTTCCAGTCCAGTAGCTCTTCCAACTGGACTTATTCATCTGCCACTTGGCATTTACTTCAGAGAGGCTGCTCGGTGAAAAGATCCCAGCCCGTTTGGGTGTCCGGCTAAAGCTCCCACCTCCCCTTCTCTCTCTCTCTCTCTCTCTTTCTCTCGTGGCAGCATTCCGAATTATGATGAATATGTATCTTTCGAACAGGCCAAGTCGCGCGAGGTTTTCCCATTTTAATTGTACATAACTGCCCCCACCTTTCCCTCCCCCTCTTCCTTCCCATTGATGACTGCAAGGAGTTTGGACTGCGGGTCTCACCGCCCCCTTCTCCTCTTCCCCGTCGCCCTTCTAGATCTGCATCGGAATGCAGAGCAAAGTTGTTGTTGTTGTTTTTCTTTTATTCAGGTTTTGAATTCCTCAATGATTTTTTTCTACTTCTAGAAAGGCGGCTTAGGATAATTATTTCAGCTTTATTGAGGGCAGATTAGGCGAAGTCTGGATGCTGCGTTTCAATACGCGTTCTACATGCCTGGACAATGTCCTTATTGTTTGCTACTGTGGGTGAACCCATTCAAAATATACACTTTTTAACACCAACCAAAGTCCTGTCTAAATATACACAGTAAGGATGGAAAGACATCCATGACCCGTACAAATCTCTGTAAATCACACTTCCATCGCTGCAGAAACGAAACAAAGGAGTTACCAGCTCAAGATGCCATTTAAAATCGCCTTAAAAGCAACGCACCTAAGAATAAATGGAGGCGGACGACAACCACAGAAGGCCGGCTTACCGGCTGGGAATTGCCAGAGTTCAGCAATTTGGTTTCACCTATATATTTTTTACACACGCTCGCGGACACACACGCAAATACAATAGGCACTGATAAATATGAGTTGTTTTTCTAATTTTGTTTTTACGAAGCATTTTTACTGCTCTTCTGGTTTTTTAACAATGCTGGAAACAAAAGGGAGCACAAATCCCAAAGTAATAGTTGGGATGCACGATTGATCGTACGGGTTTCTAATGCCTAGGCAATATCCAGCGAGTTTACAAAACAGGCAAGAGAGAGCCGAGTATGAGAGAGTAGAGCTAGAAAGGAATGAAAAATAAGCTGCAGGGAAATAAACAGCTAGAATTCGAAGATGCCATCCAGCAACTCCCCCCCCCCCGCCACCACCTTATGCTTTATTGAAGAGTATTTCTCGTTCCTCAGAGATACGACCAATTCCACATTGAACCTGACCCGACGGTGCAGGTGCTCGGCGCTTCTGGAGGCCAATTTGGGCAAGGATTCAGTCAAGTTCTGCCTAATGCAAGGGAAGGGGGCCTCGCCCACGAGTCTCCTCTGGAGGAACCCTGTCCGGCCCGACCTCCAGAAATCGGGACCTCCCTTCCTCGTCGCTTTCGCCCCGGGACTTCCAAGACAGCTCGCCGGAGAGGAGCGCTTTCTGCTCCGGGCGCCCGAGAGCCCAGACTTGGGGCAAAGTTTCTCTTGGAAGTTGCCTCTGCAAATCTCAGCGGAGGGGGGAGCGAAGGAGGGAAAGAAAAGATAGGAAGCTCCCGCTCTTCTCTCTCTAGCCTCGCTCCCCCCC